GTAATTTTTACTGTGTAATGTTGATCATTTCCTTTTGTATTGCTGCGCCTTAATTAATGAAAATGTTGACTCTACAAACTCTCCTCTTCTTAATTTTTGAGCTCCGCGAAAACTAATCAAATTACTACATAAGGTACGTAATTTTGTCTATCCTTATATCTCTTTAGATATATTCCGTTTACTGGTGTTTTAAGTATTTGTCCTTCTATTTCTTTCAATCGATAAGATCCTTTTAATAATACTTCATGAATGTAATAAGGTCCTTTCCATTTGTTTGCTAATTTTCCTGACCATTGTTTTTCTTTTGCTGCGTTGTAATATAATACTTTATCTCCTATTTTAAAATATTGTGTTTTCTTTATCTTTTTGTCATGATATTCTTTCTGTTTTTCTTGTGCTTTCTTATTATTCTTTTTAGCTTCATTTCTTTCTTTTGGTAAATTTTCAATTAAGTATTCAATTCTTTCTGTCAATGTTATTTCTTTAATTTGTTCTTCTTCTATTGGTAATCTTGCTTTCCTTCCATAGGTTAAATAAAACGGTGATATTTTTGTACTATTTTGTTTCCTTGTTCTGTAAGCGAATAATGCGGGTGCAATATATTTATCCCATTCTTCTTCCTTTTCTGATAATTTTGCTAGTGATTCACATAATGTTCCATTAAATCTTTCTACTAATCCATTTGTTTGTGGGTGATATGGTGTCGAAAAATGATGTTTGATGTTGAATTTCTTTGTTAAATTTTCAATGACTTGATTGTTGAAATGTCTTCCTCTATCTGATAATATTCTTTGTGGACAACCATGTCTGCATATAATGTCTTCGTATATGAATTCTGCTACTTCTTTTGCTGTTGCTTCAGGTATAGCCTTTGCTTCTGGGTATTTGGTAAAATAATCTATTGCTACAACTATATATTTATTCTTTCTTTCCGTTAAAGGTAATGGTCCTACTATATCTATTCCTATTTGATAAAATGGTTCTTTAATTTCTATAGAATTTAATTTTCCTTTGTTTTTCTCTTTTCCTCTTCTTTGACATCTTTCACATGACTTTGCATAATCTTCAATATCTTTACTCATTTTTGGCCAATAATATCTTTCTTTTAATTTTTCGTACATTGTTTTGAAATTAAAATGTCCTGCTGTTGGATCATCATGTACCATGAATAATATTGGTTCTAATTCAAATCTTCGTATTACTTTTAATTCTTTTTCATCCTTAATTCTGTAAAGTCTATTATCCTTTATGTTGTATTTTCTTGTTGGTTCTTTTAATAATTTTGTGTATAAATTTTCTTCCATTTTAAAATATTCTTGATAATGCGTCTGCGTTACTATTTTTCTTTCCTGAACGATGTTCTATAATAAAATTATAACTTTGTAATTCCATAATCCATCTAGCTTTCTTTCCTTTGGGTTCTTTTATTCTCTGTAAAACTTTTAATGCACTATGATCAGTGTATATTTTAAAGGGTTTATATATTAAATATTTGTGAAAATGTTGTACTGCCCAAATTACTGCTAAACATTCTAAATCCGTGGTATTATAGTTTATTTCTGCTGGTCTTAAACTTCTACTAGCGTAAGCTACTGGTTTTACTTTTCCTTCATCATTTTCTTGTTCTAATACTGCTCCTATTCCTTTTTGTGATGCGTCTGTACATAATATAAATGATTTCTCAAAATTCGGATACTGTAATGTCGGTGATTCCGTTAACTTTTTCTTTAATATTTCAAATGCTTCCTGATGTTCTTCCTTCCAAACAAATTCTTCTTCTTTATGCAATAGTTGATTTATTGGTTTTGCGATTGTTGATAATCCTTCAATAAATTTTCTGTAATATGAACATAATCCTAAAAATGATCGTACTTCTTTAACTGTCGTTGGTTGTTTAAAGTTTTGTACTTTCTCTATTTTTCCTGGGTCTGTTTCTAATCCGTTTCTTCCTACTTTATGTCCTAAAAATATTATGTCTTCTCTACAAAACTTACTTTTCTTCTTTTTAATGAATAAATTTGCATCTCGTAATCTTCCTAATACTTTGTCGAGGTGTATCATATGTTCTTCAAAAGTCTTTGAATAAATTAATATATCGTCAATGTATACTATCATGAATTCATCCAAATATTCTCTTAATACATGATTCATTAATCTCTGAAATGTTGCTGGAACGTTGTTTAATCCAAATGGCATGACGTTAAATTGATATAATCCATATGGTGTTGTGAATGCTGTTTTCTCTTTATCTTCTTCTTTCATTTCTACTTGCCAATATCCTGCTGCTAAATCTAAAGTTGAAAACCAATTTGATTGTCTGAACTGATCTAATACATCATCTATTCTTGGTAATGGGTGTGCATCTATTTTTGTAACTTTGTTTAATCGTCTAAAATCTATACAAAATCTGAATGTTCCTTCTGGTGTTCCATCTTTCTTTGGTATCAATACTACTGGTGAACTCCATGGACTTTTTGATTTCTTGATTATTTCTTGTTTTTCCATTCGTTCTATTTCTGTTTTCATGAACTTTTTCCTTATTCCGTCTTTGATTGGATAAAATCTACTTCGTATCGGTTCATCAGTCTCTACGTGTATTTCATGTTTAATTATTCCTGTTTTCCCTAATTGTGTATCTGTTATTGAAATGATATCTTTATATTTTCTTATTATTTTATCTAATTCTTCCTGTTGTTGTTGTGTTAAATTTAATACATTTTCCTTTTCAATTTCTTCTTCTAATACATAAATCATATACATTGATGGACATTCTTCTTTTTCATAAATCACTTTCATTTCTATTTCCTTTCCGTTATTGTTAATTTTCATTATTTGTGTCCCTACGTTAATTTCTGCTTGTAGTAATTTTAACCATCTCATTCCTATTAATAATTTCTTATCCTTGGATTCTATTACTTCTAATGTAATCGGTACTTTTTCCTTTTGAATTTTAATATCTATTTTCAATTTTCCTAACGATGTTAATTCTTTCCCGTTGGCTACTTTAAAAATCTTTTTACTGGGTTTTTGTATTTCAACATCTAATTCTTCTAATAATTCTCTAGTTATTATATTAGTTGAAGCTCCTGTGTCAATAATTGCATTTACTTTCTGATTATTTATTTTAATAATTCCGGTGAGCGGTATAGTTGTTGTACTTTCTGCTAAATATAGTCAATCATCATCTGATTCATATTCCGATTCTATCTCTTCCAAGTTACATATTCCTTCTATTAACTTTCTTTCATGCATTTTATATTCCTTATTTAATTCATGTATTTCTTCTAAATTTAGAATTTCATTATCTATAAATTTCTTTTTAAATTTCTTATTCACTTTCTCAATATTCTTTAATTCTTGTAATTGTGGTCTTTTCATCGCTTTCTTTAAATCTTGACTTATCACATTACTCATTTTAAATAATTGTGCGAATGTAATATTTGCTTTTGAATTCTTAAGATCATTCAAAATATTATAATCTACTGTTTTATCTATTTCTGATTTTCCTTTAGTTTTCTTTACTCTAATTTCTTCTCTATCAATTTCCATTGGTGTAAGTGTTTGTCTTGGCATAAATGAATGATTATTCTTCTTTACATTATTATAAGTTTTTCCTGATCTAAGATTCATTGCATAAAGTTCTTCTTTTTCATCTTCAAATTCTTCTTGTAAATTATTAATTCGTTCAATAGCACTATTACAATAATTTTTAGTATGTCCTGTTCTTCCGCATCTTTCACATCTTCTTTCTATATTTATCCTACAATCTCTAGCAATATGTCCTGTCCTATTACATTTAAAACATGTTATCTGATTATTCCAACTATTACTATACTGTCTGTTATTATATGTCCTGTTATAATATGGTCTATCATAGTTTGGTTGATAATTATTTGGTCTATCATTATAAGTTCTTTCGTTGTTGTTGTTAGTTCTATTAAATCTATTATCCCTTTCTAACATATTTAATTGGTCTTGTTCTCTTTGTTCCAATATATTTATTTGATTCTGTTGTTCAATCATATCGATTCTCATTCGTCCCATTTGTGCAGTTAATTCATCTACATCCTTGTTTTCTTTTGTTTTTGGTTTATCTTCATCCATAAATCTTTCTCCTTTATACATTCTTCGAGCTATTATTATTGCTGTTTCTACATCTTCAGGTTCTTCTTCTATTACTCTTCTTGCAATATTTTTCCTTAAATTATTAATGAAGGTTTGTTTAATCATTCCTCCAAGTAATATATTATCATCTCCAATATCTAATTTCTTAATTATTCTTTTAAACTTCGTAATATACTGTGGTACTGAATCTTTTCCTTGTTTCAACTTTGATAATTCCGTAAACCATGCATTCTTTCTTTCATCTGTAACATATCTTCCTTCAAATAATGTTGTAAAAGCGATATCTCCTACTTCATGTTCTTCCTCTTCGTCCCATAGTGTTGGTTGTTGAATATCTCCATACCAGTCATTTGCTGATCCTTTCAAATATAATTTGACTACTTGTAATTTCCTACGTGGTGACCAATTATTTACTTCTGCAACCTTATTAAAATTTCGTAACCAATCAATTGGATCTTCTTCTGTTTTCCCATAAAATTCCGTTGGTTTTTCTAATATCGGTCCTAATCCTGCATTACTAAGAACTGTTGCAAACTGTCTTTCATTCATTTGTATCAGATGTTCTTCTTCTTCTTCAACGTATTGGTCTTCTAAATTTTCTTCGTTCAAATTTTGTTCCTCCAGATTGTTTTGATTATTTGTTTTTAAATTATTTTTCTTTTCTTCAAATAAATTATCTGATAAATTTATATTTGAGTCTTTTGGGGATGTATTTATATATTTTCCTTTCTTATTCTCCTTTGAATTTTCGGATTTATTCTCCTCTTCTTGTTCTTTATGTCTTCTCCTTATTCCTTTTATAGTTTGAACTATTTCGGGTGTTTTTTTCTCTGAACTTTTTATTCTTGTTGGTATTTTTGTTTCTTCATATGTTGTTTCTTTTATTCCTTTATACTTTTGATTTATTTTACTTTTAAATTCTTCGGTATTTCTTGCTCTCACTGATTGTTCACTTCCTGTTGATTCACTTTCTTCTGTTTCGCTTTCTGTTGTTGATTCACTTTCTACCGTTGATTCATTTACCACTTGTTTTTCCTTGTTTTCCTTAATTACGAAATAATTTCTCTTCTCAAATGTTTCAATAAAATTATCTATTATACTGTTTATATTTTCTGCTCTCGGTTGTATTTCGTATCTAAGTGTATTTAACAAATTTTCAATACTTTGTCTTATAGATTTTCTTCCTTCTTTCTTCTTGATTTTATCCATTAATATTTCAAAATGTCTTATTGTACTTCTTGTTGATGTTATAGCTGTGTAAGTAGTAACAATCCAATCCCAAAATCTTGTATATTCTTCCGATATATTTTCTGGTAGTGGTTCGCAAAATATACAATCTTGTCTGTAACTATGTTTCTTTTCTTCATGTTCTTTCCAATAATAATTTCTAGCTTCTTGAATTGCATCTGCTTTCATCTTAAATTTTAATTTTTCCTTTTCTAAATTTTTCTCTTTGTTCTCTTTTTATACTTTTAATATTTTCTAAAATTTTCCTTTCTTTCTTTTACTTACGTTTCCAGATTTATTCAAGTGTACAGGAGGCATTCATGTTCATATGTGTCGAAGTTCGTTTCTACGTCTAGATACAGTTATCAGTGTACAGTGATAAAACATGTTGCTTGTTTCTGATGTACAAATCTTTTCACGATTATTTTAATCCCCATAAAATTTGGTCAGATTCTAAGAATAATTTCTCGATTATTTTGACTGTCACGTGATTTTAGACGTCCCTGAGTCCTTGGAATAATTTCCAGATTATTTTGATCTTCTCGATATTTTAGTTGTCCCTGGATCCTTGGAATAATTTCCAGACTATTTTGATCTTCACTCAAAGTCCCTCAATCTTGGAATAGTTTCCTATCTTATTTTTGCCATTCGTCACCATGCAATTAATCTTTTGACTTATAGGATCTCGTGAATCTTGGTTTAATAAGTATTCGTCACCATGCAATTAATTAATTTCTGACTTATAGGATCTCGTGAAGCTCAGCATAATAAGCAAACTAAAACATTTTCTTTTAAACAATCAAGATTACTTTGTCAACTGGTGGCCCTACCATTTGAACTTCTTCCTGTTTAGGCTAACGTTTCCAACCTAGATCATCTTTTTATACAAGAATTGTCAAACTTGTCATACTAGTATCTTTTAATCTCTTCTAAAAATAAATTCTACAATATAATAAATTCCAAATAAAATCTTCAATAAATCTTCAATAAATCTTCAATAAATCCTCAATAAATCCTCCAGAACGTATGGATCAGATTTGTCGTCATCGTTTTAAAGTAAAACCAAGTGAAACTCAAGTTTTCATACAGAAAACTCTGTGAAAATATGCAATTTTTGAAGTAAAAATCGTGTAAAAACTCAGGTTTTCTTCGATATAACCTTGTAAAAACAAAATATTTTCCTTAAAATCTCTAATTAAAATCTCTATTTTTCCAACTTTCAATTCTAATTTCTTAATTTCTTTCTGTAAATTTCTTTCGACTTAGGTTGATCAGTCCTTCGTCTAGGAATTACTAAACTACAATGAAATAAATTATCCTTAAAACTTCTAATTCTTAAAAATTTTTTTTTTTTTTAATACATTACTAATTATGACATCTGGTTGCTACATTCAATATTATATAGGATCACAAACATAGCTGCTTCTAGACCTTGTTCGCCAATGAACCATGACAGAATACATAAGGTATTAATATTGAGGTCCTCCCCAGAATGTCAAACAAATATTTTGAAATTCTACTTATACTAAACTAAAAATTATAAACTAAAAATGTTCTGTTTTCCTACTCAAATTATATTCTGATAAGTTTTTCTACAATACTTCCGAACAATAACATTGCTTTGTTTTGTGTGATAATTCGTATACAGTGGTATGAGGACATGTACTGTTGATTCTCGGAGCATGCACCAAATTTGTAGTTGCCATAACCCTTGTTTTACAAATGTATAGCATTTTTGAGTTCGATAAGCTTCAACATAGCTTGTACCTT